ATATTGGAGTTATCTTACGCATCATCTAGTATTTTAATGGAAATTATGAATATTCATCATTAAGTTGAGCCTTGAAGAATGCGGGTGTTAGGGGTGCCAACCTCCCTTGAAGGCAAAAATCTGAGTCTAATTTGCACTTGACCCTAGAACAACACGGGTTTGAACTTGTGTGTGCTTTTCCCCACTGTTGCTATTGATGTACATTGAGGTGTTTCCAGGATCCATAGTTCATCTCTCCAGTTAAGGAGAAGGGAATGTGAGGAGGAAGGGCAAGCAGTTAATGGACAGACAGAATTCTCACACCTAGGTGACCAGCATCATCGGGCGTTTGAAACAGATACTGGCAACACTTGGCCTTAGGAAGTAGCAACAGGAATCAAAAAGCTCAGTGAGGAAGTAGGCCCATACACTTCACACCCGTGTTGCCCAGGGGTTAACTGTAATAGTGGTTATGGATACTCATTAAATTGCAGAGGTGACCATGATTGTTGGATTTCTCTTTGCAGATGTACCTTGTATCTTCAGTGGTGACCAGATTGGAATCCTAGATCCACATCAGACACTCTTTGGCCCACATGAATCTGGCCAGTGCTGGAATCTCAAAAATGACAGCAAAGAAATCGGTGAGCTCTCAGACCAGTTTGCGCCGTTTATTGGCATCTTTGGAAGCACCGAGGAAACGTTCACCAATGGCCATTTCCCCGGGACATTCTTCCGCTTCCCTCTTCGCCTACAGCCTTCTCAGCTGAGCAGTAACCTCTACAACAGGCAGAAGGTTCTAGAGTTGTTTGAGTCCTTCAGGGCAGATGCAGACACTGTGCTGCTCTTCCTGAAGAGCGTGCAGGCTGTCTCCCTGCACGTCCGAGAGACTGATGGAACCGAGAAGCTGGTATTTCGAGTGACTGCGAGTGAGGACCAGACCCTGAAACACGAACGGCCCAATTCCATCAAGACCCTCGGAGTCGCCATCACTAACTATTGTAAGAAAGTGCCAAGCACTAGCGTGACGTGTGTCACATATCATATGAACATCGCCTTAGAAGACGACAACACCAAGGAGGCCCAGAGAACGTCATGGCTAGTGTGCAACAGCGTGGGCGGTCGAGGGCTTTGCAGTAAGCTCGACTCACTAGCGGATGAACTGAAATTTATCCCACTCATTGGAATAGCCATGTGTCTGTCAAGCAGCGCGGATGATGGAGAAGGAGCAGCTTGGGAATTTTCAGGAAAAGCCTTTTGTTTTCTCCCTTTACCACCGGGCGAGGATAGTAAAACGGGGCTCCCGGTTCACATCAGTGGCTTCTTTGGCCTGACGGACAACCGCCGGAGCATCAAGTGGCGAGAGCTGGACCAGTGGAGAGACCCGGCGGCCCTGTGGAACGATCTCCTCGTCGTGAACGTGGTACCCAAAGCGTACGTAACTCTCATCCTGGAGTCCATACGGCGTCTGGAGACCGGAAGCACCCCGGGTCTCCCGCTGTCGGTGGAGGCCATCTACAAGCTCTGGCCTGACCTGAGCCAGGTGAAGGCCCACTGGCAGCCGATTTTGGAGCCCCTGTACCGGGAGCTGTTTCAGCACGCCGTCATTCACTCCCTTAGCCACCAGTGGGTGACGCTGGAGCAGGCGTACTTCTCTGACTTGGATGAAAGCTTGGAACACACACACACTGTACTCGACTACCTCCAGAGCTCAGGGAAGCAGGTGGCCAAGGTGCCCGCCACCGTGGCTGCTGCGGTGGAGGTGACAGCCGCCGGCACTAGGCCCATGAGGAGGGTGACGCCCGCGCTGGTGCGCCAGGTGCTGAGGAAGAGTGCGCATGTGCCCGGGCCCACTGAGCGGCTGCACCTCCTGGACTTTGTGCTCTCAGATCACGTGTACAGCGAGCTGCTGGGGCTGGAGCTCCTCCCTTTACAAAACGGGACCTTCGTCCCCTTCTCCTCTTCTGTATCCGATCAGGACGTTGTCTATATTACCTCAGAGGATTATCCGAGGTACTGCAGCCCCCCTGACCATCCTTGTGTACCTCTAGGGCCCCCCTTTCCCACCTCGGGCACAGTGTGCTCCTTGCCAGGCAGGTCTCAGAGTTGGGAAGCATTTTATGGAAATCACTTGTTAAAAGACTATGTAAAGGATCCGTTTTAATATTAGAATGTGAAAAGCATTCAAATGTTTCTGGGTTTAAGTTTCCCAAGTCTTTCTTGGAAATTTCTCGGACACAACACTGAAAACAGTGGCTATGAGAGCACTCATACGAAGTAGGTGAGGTTACGTCATAATGACTCCCTTTGCTCCTCAGTGTTGTTGTTAGGTGCCATCAAATCCATACCGACTCATAGCGACCTTATGCACATCACAACGAAACACTGCCCTATCCTGGGCCAACCTCACTACTGTTGCCACTCTTGAGTCCATCAATGCTGCCACTTGCCCAATCCATCTCGTTGGGGGTCTTCCTCTTTTTCTCTGACCCTCTACCTTAACAAACATGATCTCCTTCTCCAGCAACTGATCCCTCCTGACAATATGTCCCAAGTATGAGACGAAGTTTGGCCATCATGGCCTCCAAGGAGCACTCTGGCTGCACTTCTTCCAACACAGACCTGTTGGTTCTTTTGGCAGCCCATGGCACTTTCAGTATTCTCCTCCAACACCATAACTCAAAAGCATCAATTCTTCTAAGGTCTTCCTTATTCACTGTCCAGCTTTCTCATGCATGTGAGGTGATTGGAAATACCACGGCTTTGGTCAGGCGCACCTTGGTCTTTAAGCTGACATCTTTGCTCTTCAACACTTTAAAAAGGTATTGTGCAGCAGATTTGCCTAATGGAATACGTCGTCTGATTTCTTGACTGCTGCTTCTGTGAAAGTTGATAGTTGATCCAAGAAGAATGAAGTCCTCGACAACTTCAGTCTTTCTCCATTGATAAGAATGTTGTTTATTGGTCCAGTGGTGAGGATTTTTGTTTTCTTTACATTGAGATGCAATCCATACTGAAGGCTGT